ACATAAGCATTAGAAAGCTTTGATATTTCCAGTAAATCTTGTTTTGTAGGATTTCATAGGTGAAGTTTGTTTTAAATGGCATTAAATAAAAAAACAAAGTCAGTCAATGATTTGCAAAGCCAAGAACTAGAATAAAATTATTCCACCTAAGTTTAATTTCATATCCATAAACACATACATACTCACAACTTTTCCCTCTTAATGTATCTTAATTTTTATTGACATATAAAAAAAAAAAAGAAATTACCAGTGGGTATTAGAAGTTATTTCCAAGACTTGGAGCTATGAATTGACCAGAATTAGCTTAACATGAAAAACTAAATACCCACCTAGCATCTAAAAATCTAAGTTCAAATCTGTCTCAAGTTCTTAGGATTTAAACAGGAATATAAAGAAATACCTGTTCAAAGCAGAAAATAATTGCTTTCTGCATTTAACTTTTTTAATCTCTCAATTCTGTGTTGCACATAGAGCATATAGCCATATGTATATGACAGTTATTTTTGTTTAAAACCAATTTGTATATATACTTACTTTAAAACACAGCAAAATTCAAGCTTAGCAAGAAAATGTTAATGTTTATGCATTATTTAGTCCCAGTATTGCCAAGGAGTCTGCCCACACAGAATCCCAACAGATGCTAAACAGATAGAAAGGCTGCCAAAAGCTGAAAGCATTGCATAGTCTCCATCTCACATTCAGTGTCATTTAAATTCAGATGTTTATCTCTGCCTAGTTTATTGAAATCTACCAAACTAAGAAAAGGAGATCACATTTTACTGATGTTTCAGACTCCCCAAATCTTTTTTTATGTATGTTAAGTAATTTCCATTAACTTCTAGTTTGTAATGTTACTTAAATTTGGTTAAGTAAGAATAACGAGATTTAAAAGAAATCCTGAAAAGATAAGTCTTTGCCTTTGCTTTGTTTATAGATATATAGAATACTAGCTTATGTGCCAGAGGTCTGTAGAGGCTTCAGAACTCATAGAGGACTTAAGATGATTAAGATGATAAAATGTGTGTGTCCACCTAAAATAAATATGAAAGAAAGATACATGTTCTGCACTTTCACTTGACAGTAGTGGGAATGTGCTGGTTTAAATTCACTGAATATACTGATAATTTAAACTCTTTATCAAAGACTTAAAAACTGTTTACTGCGCAAGACTAACATGAGTAACGATATCTAGGAATATTAGAACTTTGTCCCCTAAATAATATATCATTTTCTACTTAGTGAACTGTAGAAAACATTGAAGATCTAAGAAGGCTTAATAAAAATATTCTTTTATAAATCATCTTAAACTGGGATGGAGAAGTCTTAATGAAAAATTAATCTTTTATACATGTTTAAGAAAATAGTTATGAAGAGAGGGTTAAAACTCAGCACAGATTTTTTTTTTTTTTTTTTTTTACACTTTCACTTTAGATGGGAAGGTTCCCCCTTTGTATCTAGCACTGTTAAAACATATACCTCACACCCTTAGGAGCAAGTTATTACCCTCATTCAAACAAAACTTTACTGAGGATAAATTGCGTATTTCACAGAATCACAGAAGGGCTGAGGTGTCCTATCAGGTCCCATGGAAGTGTTTTTGTCTAGTCTGTTTAAATGCACCCTTAATTAATCTTTCACTACTTAGGGTGTCTTCATTTCTCCGTGCTTTCCTACAGGTCTGAGGGGCCTGCAATTCCTGAAGTCTTACCAGTAAAGACGAAAGCAAAGAAGGCATTGAGTACCTTGACCTTCTCCGTGTCCTTTGTCACCAGGTCCCCTAACCCATTCATCAGTGGGTCCGGGTCCGTGTTTTCCCCAGTCTGTCTTTTGCTGCTGATATACCTGTAGAAGTCTGTCCTGTTGCCTTTCACCGTCCTCGCCAGATTCAACTCCAGATGGGCTTTGTCTTTCCTAACCCTTTCTAATCCTAATTGTTTCTGACAATTTAAAAAATATGTTGAAGGTTTTCCTCTTAAGCTAGTGTCTTATGATTATTGAAGACTGAAACGCAGTTAGTTGTAGTTGATATAAGAGAATGACTGTTTCTGAGGATCAGCTTCCTCCCATTTATGAAAGCAATTTTTAGCAACTTCAGTTTCTTTCTGTGAGAAAAGCAATAGCGCTTTGTGAATCCCTGGAGCTCCTCTGCCAGATACAGGAGAAAGTACGTAGTAAATTGGGTAAAACTGATAAGGAGCAATATTTAGCAAAATATTTAGCAAAACAAAAAAGAGAAGATGTAAAGCTAAGTCTCCCCTTCCTGAATGTCTATATTGTAGTCGCTAGGTGACATCACCTCGAACAAGTGTAGTTAGATATGTAAAATGCTGATGGCACGTTACCCTTAAGGTGTTTTGAAGAATGTGCCCTGGAAGTGGTAATTTAGGAGGTAATAGAGGCACTTGATAACTCTTAATGAAAGCAGTAGCTTGAAAATCACACATTTCCAGGCCTTTAGGTGCAGTGTCATAAGGCTCTCAAAAACTGAGAGGTTCGGTAGAGCTTCTTCTTATGTTCATGTTCTTGCAAATGGAAATGAGATCCATTGCCTGTCTTGTAGAAACATTAGCCGAGAGGCAAGCGTTGAAAGAAATAACAGCAAGTTCAAGCAGTGGTGAATGTAGAAGTAGTGGGACTTGTTAGAAGCAACAGGGAACTTGGGCTCCATGGCCTTGTTTTGCAAGGATGTGTAAATATTAAAGAATGATTAAAATGGTGTAATGGAACAAGAAGCCAGAAGGGTCTCCTCCTGGATTTGGTTTCTGAGCAAATGCAAAACGTGAATTCTATTTCAGATTTGAAAACCTTTTGATGAACCCTGAGCTTTGAGCACAGCTGGGGTGATTTATGGCTTTGTGATTTCAATCTGTAACTTTGCTGGGTTGTGCTGCAGTTTTGAATTTTTGAGGTTTCAGATGTGAGTCATTAGCTTTTTCAGCCCTTCACTTAAATCTTTTAGCAGATACAATTTTTCTCCCAGCTGTTCATTCAGACATTTCAGATAAATAAAAATTAAGCAAAACAAAGCAACCCCACAGCCTGCTAAACGGGGTTCAAATAAATGAAAGTCAGTTCTAGTTTCAGTTCAGGTTTACTTGCCTACTTTACCTAATGTTGTAGTTTTCAAGTCACATATAGCATTTTTGAGAGAAAACGAAGTTGACAAGATCTGAATTTCTGAAACTAAGTAGGGGTAACCAGGCTGTGCCTTGAAGAGATCAGAACAGCTTGTTTTTATCAGGGCTTTGCTGGTTTTAAATAGTATGCCTGTGCAAAGTTAACATAATCTGTATTTTGCATATTGCTCCTAATTTGAGTCATGCCAAAGCACAGAAAGCATGTGAAGCACTGCTTGCATCTCAACTGGAAGGTTTATCAGTTATAACTGGAGTTAGCATGACACAGCAGCTGCTTCTACGATCGTTTGGTAGCACAAAAACCAAAACACATTAATGCCATCAGTCATTCTCACCACCCTCCCAATTAATTTGCAATTATTTTCAATAATTCATAGAGAGGCTCAATGAAACATCTTATAAGTGCATTGCTGATGTGGATACAGATGGCCAAGTGTTACTTTGGGGGTGGCAACTTAAGGACAGATGAAATGAGTTAGCCGGTGAAGGTACATGCTCTCTGACTGTCAACATACTAGTAAATGAAGAGTGCCTATGACCATGCTCTGTCCCGGAGGCCAGCTGTCAGGAGGAAGCTTGTGTCCGTGCTAATAAACTCTCCCGGTCTGTACGCAGGGTAGAGGTACAGAACTGCCACCTGGAAATGGACCATGGAGGGTTTTCAGTTGAAAGGACGCCTGTGGATTGCTTGGAACTGTGCTAGCTGGGCCAGACCAAAACCTTCCCAGGGACCTTTCTAACAATTTAACAACATACACAATACCAGTGCCTGGGAACGTTCTCTGGAAGCATTTCGTATACAAGTATTGATATAGCCTCAATGTCTTTCAGGATGTTGGCAATGTCTTGTTTTTCATTAACTCAATTAAAAAAATTACTATAGGAAATTCAACATATATTTGCTATGTGAGCATGAAATATTGCGTATACTCCTGTTTCACTGTCAACTTGTGTGTGTGTTGAGCACTAATGTCTATTGATGGCCAAAGCTTTCCTGACATTTTGTCAGGAACCTACTCTGCAATATGAATCTGATGGCCCAATGCAGACGAGACATAAGATCTGCTTTGGCCTGATGCCAAAGAGAGCTGGCAAGAAAAAGATGTATTCTAGGGAATTAGTACACATCATTCTTGAATCAGAAACTGCTAGTTACAGCACCAAGCATATTTTACAGGAAGCAAAAGTAAATTCAGTGTGTTTTTCAGTTTGTACCATACAAGAATAAAAAGTCATATTAATGCAACGTTTTTATGGTAGGATGGTTTGATCTTGAAAGTGCAGCTACAATTCATGGTTAATGCCAAGCATATGCTGACATAGCGATGGCTCCTCCCATTGATTCAACAAGTGAAAAATGTTGCATTCTTGAGAAATAAGTCTGATTTCCATGTGCAGAGCGACACGTGTCGCACATTGGGCTTCCTCTGTTCACTATACCCACTTTCTCCTGGAGTCTCTTCTCCTGTAACCATCTAACTGGTGGTGTGATACATGCAGCGAATATCAGAACCTATTTTCCCACTTTCTAATTAAAGCAGACGTACTTTTGAAGAAAGGTAATCTGGGAGCTACCTCAGTACGGTGGCTAAAAACATACCTCATTGCAAGTTTGAATTTCAAATGAAGAATATACTTTTGTGCCTTATTAAAGTAAGACCTTAATGCCCATGAAAGCTAATAATACAAAATAATTTTTCTCACATTCATTCCGGGGTTCTAAAAAGTGTCACTTTCAGATATTACTATTGAAACTATCTCAGTGCCTAAAAAGTCACCATGTTTTTCTTTTTTCTTTTTTTTTTTTTTTTTTTTTTTTTTTTTTTTTTTTTTTTTTTTTTTTTTTTTTTTTTTTTTTTCCAGCTGTGGGACCTACTGCAGAAGTTGCAGTTCATCATGACATACATTGCTCCCTGGCAGATTGCCTGGGGATCATCGTTCCATGTTTTTGCTCAGCTCTTTGCAATACCTCATATCCTTTATAAATTTGTTTTTCTTTATTCTTAAATTCCTCTTCATGTATGTAATTTATTTACAGTGTTTGAACAAGGCACGAAAGTCCTAGGTAACTTATTTTAAAATGTGACAATGTTTGGAGCATCTCCTGAGAAATAGTTTTCTCTCTTTCTTGGCTGCATGGGAGCTGAAACTGGGAAACTGAACTCTGACTCAAACTGGTCTGTTTATGCTTGCTCACTTCCCACCAAGCCACATTCTGCAGATCACGTACGTCCACTGTCCTCCACGCTGACTTTTGATGCATCCAGAAAGAAACGTTGTGACTAACATATTAGCTCCAACTTGGGTGGACTTTTATATATGCAGAAGCTAGTTTCGTAAAGTGCTGGGCTTATGGCTGACTGAGCTCTAAAATATTAGTTACTTTCTCAGTTGCTTCTAGTTGGTATCTCAGATGCAAATTCATTTCAGTGAGCCGATCTCTGGTGCAACTGTCCTGATTTTTTTTTTTTTTTTTCATTTCAGAAGCAGCTGGATTTTAACATTTTAATGTGCATTTTTCATTGTGGTGCTGAGAAGAATTCTCCTTTTTAACATTTCCACTCTGTTTTATGAGTAACAATACATGTTCATCAACACCAAAGCAGTTCTTTGGAAAAGAGTCTGTTTCAGTGCCTGTTCCAGGGCTGTGAACATTGGTTTTGTGGATGTGGAGAGTAAGACAGAGTTCAATGCCCCCCAAATGTCGGTGGGGTTAAAAAATGTATGTTGGATTTTTGTAATAAAATTTTTTTAGCTTGAAGTCTAATTCAGTGAGAAACTTTATTTAATACAGGAAAAAGATGAAGAATGAAATAAACCACTTTAACTAAACAAATTTAACTTTATTGACATCTAAAGCATTTTCAGAGACTAACGTTTCGTTTCTTCCTTCCCTCCCAACCAAAGTTGTGGTAGAAGAGCAGACAAAGTGGTTTTAGTTCAGACCTACTGAAGAGTTTACTTTGTACTGTTTATTAGATATATGCACTTAAGTCTTTGTCCCTTTCATCCCACAGTGTTTTTCCCGCCCCCCTTGAGTGATTTTTTTTCCCTCTGCTCTTTGCTGTGGTATATTGAATCATATGCAGCATTGACTAACTATGCTTATGTTTCTAGATAGGAAGTATAAATGAGAGCCTTGGACAGAGGGAATTGCAGACAGAATAACTCCCGGAGGGAAGGCTTTAGATTGTCTATTTGTGAAAGGAAAGCATTATAAAAATAGTAGTCTGAGCACTTCGAGTGATTTGTAGCAAATTAATACAGAATTCCACAACAAAAAATTATTTTCATCTCTGTTGTAGGTATGAATTGCAGGAGAAGTGTATATAAGGTTATTTAGTAACACATTTAAGAACTGAGATGATATTTCAACAGGTTTCCCTTTGGTCACAAATATTTTGTGTAGTAATAACTTTACTCTTGGTAAAAGTACCAATTAAGCTTTGTAAAATGGCAAGCGGTTAATTAAGCAGGATTTAATTTATTTACACAGTTATTACTAACGTGATCTATACTAGTTTTCTATTATTTATATGTATAATATCCTTTGTAGATGCAAATCTGTCTTTTAAGGCAATGTTGCAATTAAGATACTGGTTAAATGACCAAGTTACTATTCCCACATCAACAATAACTTTGCCTTTTTGCATGGTATTTTTATTTGTTGTTGCCATCACCCTGCAAACAGTACTGATGAATGCATGTTGCAGTTTGCAGAGTCACTAAGCCTGCCATTTCTTTGCAGAGTTTAATTATTTGTGGTTCTTAATCGCCTAAATCACTTCTGCAAACGGGACATAAATTTTTAAATTTCAAAGTGCCTCTGTGAGCTTTTGCCATAGAGCTCAGCAATATGAGAAGTTCTGCATGCTTTAATGCATTTGATTCTGGCGTGCAGAGCACGAAGGGCAACGCGCCTGGAGTTTTACCTGGTGGAGGTTGTGGAGCCATTGGAGGTCTTTTAGACGAACGTCTGTCAGGAGTCATGTAGGTTTAGCTGATCCTTCTTTGTCGCTGCTAGATGGTCTAGGTGACCCCTCAAAGTCCCTCCTAATCCTGAAAGATGAGGAATGGGAATGGGCTTCTGGCTTTAGGAGAGATCTGCAGCTTCGCTTCCCAGTCCTTAAATGAGTAAGAAAAGGTTATGTGTTTAAAATTATCAGCGCACTGAGAAAGTCAGCGTAGTTTGTAGTCAAGGGAGAATTTTACGTAATAAATCAATGGTGAGATTCGGAAGGAAAGGATTTGTAGTTCAGATTATCCTGTTTGTGAGAGTTTCTGCTTTGGCTGTTTCAGGGTTACAGCTCTAACAGCAGAAAAGGAAGCCCTGTGTTGCTCAGTTCTCCCATCTTCTAAGTGATCATGTGCTTGGAAGTGGCGAAACATTTTTTCGCCCACAGAAATTGCAATTAGAAATGTGGGTTTTGGGAAACAGAGGATTTGCACTGGCCTTGCTGCATAGTTTTGTGTTAAAAGAAGGGGATGGAAGACACTGAAAATGTCAGTCTTTCAGTTACTTGTTTTGAAACTGATTGGAATTTAAACAGATTTTTGAATTACAAGAATTAATCCTCAAAATAGAATGTTTTATTTCATGTTGAAGGGTTTCTAGTGATTTCTTCTTCTCAAAATTTGACTTCGGCCATATTAAAAGGAAAATCCATTTTTCACAAAGAAACAAGTTCTGCTTCTACACTGTATACCCTAACAAAGATGGTACACAGGAAAACTGGATTGGGACATAGAATAAAAGTTTTTTGCACTTCTTTTTTATTTTCTAGTTAAACATAATTAAAACATCGGTATAAAAAAAATTACCTAATAAAAGGAAATCAGGTAACATCAAATAAAAAAACCCTGATGACAGATAATTGCCCACTGTACACATCAGCTGTGTATGTAAGGGAGTTGAGTGCTGTTACTTGCAGTCATGACATGCTTACATATATGAAACACTATTAAAATCAGTCTTAGCAGGTCAAATGGGAAATGTCTTCTAACGTACATGTAGTAGAGCATTATGTCTTTTAGCAAAAATAAAACTGTTGCTACTGATTATGTCTTACACACAAACAGTTCACAGTGGAGTCCTAAATGTCTTAACTCATGATGATGGCAATTTTTAAATTAATCATGACATTAGAGCTCTCCTTAGAAAACTTGATTTGCTGTCCTTATCTGTCCTCCTTGTTCTCTTTTTGTCTCTTCAGTTCCCATGCCTCCTTCCCGTATCTGACACTTGTAAATGCTTGTTCGTCTTTCACAGCCAGTGCTGGTTGTGACTACAGTGTAATGTGACAGTTTAACTTTTTTGGTGCACTTGCTTCCTGCTCTGTCCTCTCTGTTGCTTTTTGAACTTTAGACTCTTGAGGGCAGCTCATTTTGCAAGCTCACTAATGCACAAAGACACCGTTCCAGACCACTCTCTTTTAATAAGTTTGAGGAATATGAGAGATATCTTTTGGCAAATATTTGTTTTTAGATTTTGCAGATTGCTTTGAAAGCATGGCTAGCTAGCCTTTTTATGGAAATACTGTACCACGAATGATGCTACATGTGTTAAAATGGTTTTTTGTGAAGTCTCAAAGTCTGTGGGACACACGTACAGGATATTACTACAAGAGGGTAAGCTAAAAGGCTGTGGTTATTGGGTGATTTGACCTGAATTTTAGTTTGAGCTGCACTTAAGTGTTGTACTTTGATAGTCGCTCCTTAGTCTATGACTTCTTTACTTAGCACCTTCCTCCCAAGAGTGGTATTAGGAAGGACAACTATTCTCTTATACCAACTTGGAAACTTTTTTCTTCAGATTTCATGGACGTGGTATGAATTAATGAAGAATTAAAGCCTAACATTTAATTTTCTTGGGTTTTTAATCATGTTCTTTTCAACTTGCATGTTTTTCAGTATCCTTGTCCATCTCCTAACTTGCTTTCCAGCAATCTGGAATATGAATTTACATTTAAAGTAAGCTATGGATTCAGGCATTCATTGTGATGTGTTTGTGCGATATTACCTATTCCCCTGTCCTCACCTTCTCATTTCATATGTATTTCAAAAAGTATGAAGTGCTGAGCATTTTTTACCTTTCAGTCAGCATGGAATATGAAATTGTCAGTAAAAATTAACATGAAAGCATGATTTTAAGCCAGCAGGATGGATTAATAGAGGTATAGTTGTTTCTGCACGTACTAGGTCATTCCAAAATAAGCAGAAACTCACAGAATGAAATACTGGACACATTGGGAGCAAGAGTCCAGTGCAGAGAACCGAGAATTTCCAAGAAAATGAGTTTTGGGGCATTTTTGTGTTTTAAACTCTGGTTGTCAGACTCTGGAAAGGCACTTCGTGTTATAGAAGGTACACTACACTGCACACTGCACTACACTAAGGTAGCTGGAAAAGGGTGCTTACTGCTCTGCCTACGCTCAGCATCTGTCCTCGGGCAGAGATTAGACAGGGTCACCCCGCTAATAGCGTACTCCGTTCAGACATGTCGCCTTCATTACAACTGTGTCGCATTGAAGAGCCACTGATTACATGCTGGTAATTGGCAATTTGGCACCACCTGCCTCCCTTTCCTTTCCTTACCACCTCTTTGGTAAAATAAATAACAAGAAAAAAGCAAAAATAAATAGTTCAAAGAGCTGCCTCAACAATGGTTTAAAAGTATGAAGAAATCATTTGTGTTACCTTAACTTGCAATTTTCAGACTCTGCTATGCTTTTTTTCCAAACTCTGGCCACCTCAGTCTTTTCTACACCACTGAGTCCATTTCTTGGTAGTGTCATCTTTATCGCATCATACGCAAGACCGATCAAGTTCTGGGAGAAAAACTACAAGTAAGACTATTCAAAAATTTTCTACATTTTTTTATTTGTAAAGGTTTTGCTCTCATTAGATGCATTTCTGGAGGTATTTTTCTTTCTGAAGATAATCCTTAAATTGTTGTAGGGCATGGGAGGTTAATCTTTGAATCTTGATTCTGGAGTTTTACTATTTCATGGTTATTTGGTTATTTCTGAAAGTGTATTTAAACAATTGTCAGTACGTTACAGACGAGGTGTCTTGTTGCATTTGTTGTACAGACATACAGGAACGAAGCTGTGAAAAAAAAAAATCAGTAAAACTCCCTGTTGTCAGCCTTTTTTTGTCTTGCTAGCTAGTGTTAGCAACTGTGAAGCCTTTGGCACTCAAAGTCAGGCTGCATTAATATATTTTATACTAGCCTGATTAAATGTTACCGTTTGGGATGTGGCAGGTAACTCTCATAGTGAAGTGATGATGGGTGTGCATTGTTATTACTTGCTACATCTGATCTTGGAGTTTGACTTAAGAATTGGTTGGGTTTGTCAGATTTTATCTGCCATTCATCATTTGACAAGGACGTAAATGCAGAATATCGAAAAGATTGAATAAAGAGCTTCTGCTCCTTCTACCCAGCAGGATTTGAAAGCTTTTGGTAACTGGGATCTAGTGGGCTCCCAGCAAGAGTACTGGAGACAGGGAAATGCTTACCTTTCCTGATGGAGGTAGTTTTTGCAAGGGATGAATGAGCAGTCTGCAACTTTAGGAGCTGGATTCAGTGACTAAGGGGGGTTCCTTTGAGTCCTGCCATCTGGGCAGTGTGTGAGCTCTTCACCACCTACTAACATGTAACCATGCTCAGAGTAATTTACTGCAGCTGCAGAACAGCAGTTTGAGGCACAAAGTGAAAATCATATTGTCCAAATTAGGACTTGGCCAGACCAGTGAGAAGTGCTATACACTTACCACACTTCTTGTATCAGTGCCACTGATGTATCTGAGCACCTCAAAAGAACTGAAAACTAGAAATTACAGTGATTGATTTTATCTTTTAGAAGAAAGCATCTGATTAGTTCGAAGATTTTAATTTTTGTTTCAATTTGACTTGTGTCAGTGAGTGAATATGTACTCATCGATAAAGAAATGAGTCAAACACAGCCAAGTCATATAAAGAGGCTTTGTATTTGCTTCTGAGATTTGTGGAAACCTTTTGGGGGGGTAGCTGTGTTTTGTGCACTGGGACCAGATCTTAACAAAATTTTTTCTCTCACATCTTTTTCTGGGTCAACAGGTTCATTATTCCATAGGAGTGAAGTTGAGGGGAGTCGTGGAAAGGCAGGAAGCTACCACTAATCCCACAGAGAGCATTACATTTTTGGACAGAAACTTTGAGCCGTATTAGGTAGGAAGTGGAGAATTGAATATTTGCAGCATTTTACTTCAACCAGACCATTTTGAAGGCATGTGGCTTCTTTTCTAAGTATGGGTTAGAGAATCAAACTCAGCTGTAGGCACATCACTTCCATATAGCTAGGGTTAGTGTAGTATCTGTAGATTGTTGTAGATGGAGATAGCGGGACCATTTTCATTTGGTTTTGGTTTGTCAGAGGCTTTTGGGATGAGGTCAACAGAAGGTATTCAAAGGAAATGTCAAATGATGGTGCTTGATGGGTGATACTTAAATAAGGGGGTCTTGTTTTCATCAATACTGACCATCTGTGACTCCCGCTAAGGGAAGTAAAGAAGTTGGTGCTAATGATTTTTTTAAAACAAAACTAATTATTTTACCCATAAACTGTAAAACCCCGAGTGCAAAAAACTAACCCTTTTAATACTTTAAACCACCGCTACTTTTCCTTTCAAAATAAGCAGTAACTACAACTTTGTCTTCAACATGGATGCTTAAGTTAGGCTCTTTGTGAAAAATTCATGCTTTGTTGTTTGTTAGAAATTCTAGTTTATCTTTTATGATCTTCTCTCTTAATACATCAAAACCACAACCTTCCCCCTCAAAAATCTTTCAGAAGTAGAAAACAGCCTTGTAGAAGATTCAGATAGTCATCAAAGTGAAATAAATGTTTGCCTGAACCTGTGGCACCCCACAATATGCACATGTAATGGCTCCTCCTAAATTTATATTCATTTTGTCTCTAGCACTTCTGATTCTCCTTTACCTCGCTTGTATTTCAGTATTTCATTGCTAACTTGAAGAACTGAGCAGAGCAAGCGAGCATTGGACTGAAAAACTCCTTGGTCGTTAAAGGGACACAGTCAAAAGACAAAAAAAGGCAAGGGAAGGAAGAAATTTTGTACTAAGAATAGGGACGTTTTCTACAAAATACTTAAAATAATTGAATGAAGTGAGACAGGTCTTGCCTTACTGCTTTAAATCTTGACCCTTCAACTTTTTAGAATTCAAAGGGACAGCAGGATTGCTTTCTCTCAGAGCTGTGGAGTTAAATAGGATTGGGAACCTAAGCTGGAGTGAAAGTTGTTCTGGCTCCTGCACTGACCAGTCTTTGGGCTGCAGTGCCCTGTGGCCAGATGTGTACTTAGTTTCCAGGTGCTGGAAGACAAAACAGAACAAACAGATGGGGAAGCTGGTGTACAGATTGCTTTTTTGGAGTGCGTTGACAGTTACTTTTGCTAAGTTCAGCTCAGGGTATTCATGGAAAGTCACAGGTTCACTACAGGGCAGTCTGAGATACGCTCGTACAAAGCAGAAGCTCTAGCAGATTTTTTTGGCCGTTTCCATACTCATTGCCTGTTGACAGGAACTTTTGCCCAGGGGAGAACTACCTTCAGTGTGCCTTATTGCATGGTTCAACCCCAGCCGGCAACTAAGCACCACGCAGCCAGCTGGGGGGATGGGGGAGAGAATCGGAAGGGTAAAAGGGAGAAAACTCGTGGGTTGAGATAAGAACAGTTTAATAACTGGAGTATAATAAATTAGAACAGTTAAATAGGCAAAGCAAAAACCGTGCACGCAAACCAAGCCAAACAAGTCATTCACCACTTCCCATCGGCAGGCAGGTGTTTGCCATGGGGCTTGCTTGCCTTACTATATATTAATCTAGTGCTCGTTAGTGGCTGCTTTTTGTTTTTGCTGCTTGCTGTACTGCTTATCATCTTACTCTGCTGTGCCTGGGATATAGCGTGCTTTCTTTTTTTGTTTTGGCTGCTTTGCATACTCATTTTCAAACACTTCCTTGCTGTATTGATGACTACATTAAATTATCATATTTGTATTAGCTATGCAAAAATTCATTTACATTTATATGAAGTTACAGAGGTAGTTAATTCCATGGTTATTTTTTTTTATACTTTAACCTCTTAATTGGGCTAATCGAAAACAATTTTGACAGGCAGTCTAGATATCAAAATATCATGGTTTTGTTTTTCTTCCAAGCATAAATTAAGTTGCTTTCTTAGAGTGTCATTTCTGTTCATCAGTATATGCACACTGCACTGCTGTCAAGCAAGTCATTTTTATTTTGTTTCACTTAAGGAAAACTTATTTTTGCATCTCATTTGGGCCAACAGTGTGAAATTAGATGAGGGAAAAAACATCCGGTTCATTTTCTGTGAAGTGAATCCAAAGTTGAAGCTTTGGACATCAGCAAGTAGACAGTACCGTGTTTATTAATAGAGCTGGGCTATTAGGCCAGTAGCCTGAGTAGTGAGCAACTGCTCCATCTGTCTTTGAAGTGCTGCTTTGGTTGTCTTCATCTGGTTTTTTGAGTGCACACATATGCATCTTGCATTTCCAGTGTTTCTTTTAGTCCCATTTTTTCTGCTGGCTAAAGAGGAGTTTGATTCCTCAGATTTCTGACTGGGCATCTGCCACTCCAGATGATGTGAGCTGGAGCTGAAAGTCTTGGAGAATTGAGATGATGGCTTGTTTGTTTTTTCAAGGAGATGGAGGAACTCAAGTGGGTAAAAAAAAAAAAAAAAGTAGGCAGTAGGCAAACTGTGAAATTCCTAGCAAGCTCTTCAAAATTCCGGAGTCATACTGTGCTTGTTTGTGCTCTTGCAGCGTGTGCGCAGAGCATGGGTGTTCTTCCCTGCAATCAGTAAATGCTCTTTGTTTATAGCGTGCACTTTGGTACTCACTGCGTTCAGAGTGTGGTGCACCAATACGTCACTGGGGTCAGGGATCTTTCAGGGGGGAAACGGAAGGGTGACTTTAAGAAGAAGAAAAAATAAGGCAATAAGGAGGGTGAGTAAGAAAGAACAACTTCTCACGCAGCCACTTTTTTACAGCTTTTGCTGCCATTGTTGTTGAAAAGAGAGGGGTGTAAAATCAGAAAGCTGGCCTGCTGCTCATGAGCTGGTTGCCTCGTGGGAATCCAACTAGGAGAAATTTTCTGTTTTTCTTCTTTTTTTTTTTTTTTTTAAAAAAAAAAAAAAGAAGTTTGATGCAACACTGGCTTTGTCCTGCCGTTAGCCTGGGTCCTGCTTCCCAGTTCGAAGAGTCCTGTTTTAGTCTTTATTTTCACAGCTGTTGGAATGATTAGGCTGTAGATGTCAGAGAGAGAAAAGGAAATAGCAGTAAATCTTGTTTAATGTATAGGCACTTTAAAGCATAAAGTGTTTGTTCAAACGCTGTTGTTCCATACCTCTGCTTTGCTTTTTTTCTTAAATACTTTGTCACGCTGCAGCCTGACTCTGTCCCCTTCCTCCCTTTCTCTTATCTTGCTTTGTATCTTGGATAAGGCAATGGACAGAACAGGGTAGGAAGTTTACTTTCATTCCCCGGTGGGTCTGACCACTGGATCACGTCGAGCAGCCTGTTCTCTGCTGCAGCTGTGACTTGTCCCCGCAAACAGCAAACTGCCACCAGGAATCTAGAGATTTTGTTGCCTACAAGCCACTCATCTCTCTCCTGCTCCTTGTTTCTGTTCTTTCTTGGTCATCTGGTTCAGTGCCTGTTTTTGGGTAAGGCACAGCTTGCATTTGCTCTGAAGGGTCTCGAGTGAATTACCATGTGGTATAACTGAATTTGTTAGGTGCCTCTAAAGAGGCTGTGATTAAA